CGAGCCACTTGGCCGAAATCAGCCAAGTAACACGCTCGAGTTGATCACAAAACGTCACTCGAACTACTAGGCCAACAAAAACAGTTACACGACTCGAGCCACTTGGCTGAAATCAGCCAAGTAACATGCTCGAGCTCATCACAAAATGCCACTCGAGCTACTTGGCCAACAGGCCCAGTTGCACGACTCGAGGGATTAAAGACTCGAGCCACTTGGCCAAATTCAGCCAAGTAACACGCTCGAGCTGGCTATGATCAGAGGATCGAACCTATCTAGTCGTTAGTCGGTTATGCAAAGAGATCGAGGCTATTGAGCATCGAAGTTTATTTCACCATGTCTCACAATATCAATTATAACGAACATCGCAAAATACCGAGCTTCTATTTTCAAACAAAAAGTCGCGACCCCATCTCGGGGAAAGAACTTACAACTTGTTCAAATTCAAAAAAAAAAAACAAAAAAAAATTACATATCGAGCTCAATAAAAGCTAATCAAGGTCGATGGCATCAGTAGCAGTATCAGGGTCAGGGGTGCCAGCTTCCTTCCTGTCTTCATCATCAGCCTCGACCTCGGAGGAAGACAGTTCGAGCTCATTGGCCCTCTCATTCACCGACATCAACTCTTTGACGAGAGGTTTTTGGTCTTCGGGGAGCCTGGTCCTGAGGAAAGAGCAAGCCAGCCTGAGGGCATAATAGTAAGACCCCGACCCATATTGCCCGAGCAGAGTTTTCTGTTCCTCAGACATTTTGAAGTCCTCAATCGGTTGAGTTTGGGCTTGGACTAACTGGCTCTCAAACTCTTTTTTCGTGTGCAGAAGCTCGAGTTTGGCCTCCTCAGCTTGGTTTTTAGCCTCACCAACCTAATCCCGAGCATTCCTTATCTCGATCCGAACGAGATCGTGCTCGACCTCAAGCTCTCGAATTCTCCTGTCCTTTTCTTCGTTCAATGCCTCGAGCTCGGCCACTTTGCTCGAAGCCCCGATGCTCTTCAAAAATAAACCTCGAGCCATGCTCAGGGCCTACGCACGAAATGAGAGTTTAGTATCGAGGCAATAACTAACATGAAAAATTTTGCCAATAAATGATACCTTGAGGGTTGCGAGCTCGAGTGCCCTGACTCCCTCACCAGGCTAGACCTCATCTCGGTACTTGTTCACAAGACTTGGAATCAAAGGAGATCGAGCATGCTCGTCGAGAGCCAAGATCAGTAGAGGAACGTATTTCCTCTAAGTCGACGATCTCAGCCATAGCCCGAGGAGTGGATGATTGTGTTCGGGGGGAGGGCTGAGGCACCTGTAAAGGACTCTTTAAGGACTGTCCAGTCCCACTTGGCATTCTGCTCGGGTTAGACTCCCGAGCCCTTTTCTTCCCCTTCGACGGGGTGGGCTCCTTCTGCCTCGGGCCCTTGGCCTTCTGCTGAACGTTCGAAAGTAAGGCGAAAGGATCAAACGACATCTCCAAATCAACATAAAAAGAATACAAGACATTAGCTCGAGCTAAGCTCGGGGAAACAGCTCACAGCAATAAGGATATGACTCGTACCCTCGATGCCCCTCACATTGGCGAGGTCGATAGTGTCTTCCTCGAGCAAGAAGTCGCTCTTAGCTGTCAGTGGCTCGTGGTTAACTAACCTAAGCCTATCCCTTTCCAAAACCTCGAAGTAGGCTTGTCCCTCATTAAACCTATTCTTATCAGGGACTGACCACATTGTCCTAAAGGGGTGATCGGGGTTTTGTGGCTTCACAAAAAAGTACCTCTCTTTCCAACCACGAAGAGCGCTTAAGGTTTCGGGAGTCCTATATCCCCCCTTCGCCGATAAATACACAAAACAGTTAAACCTCGGTGAGTATTTCAAACCATAAACCATTCTCAAAAGATCGGTCCTAGGCTCAACCTCGAGACACCTACACAAAATAAAAAAATACACCAGCAACCTCCAGCCATTCGGGGCTAGTTGACCCAGACAAATAAGGTACGAGGTTAGGAAGTCGAGGAAGAAGGGGTGTAGTAGCCACCTAAACCCAGCCTTGAGGGTATCTCTGAAAAAGGTTACACCCCATCCCGAGCATCCAACGTGGTTTCGTCGAGCCCGAGAGTCCTGATATCACAAATAGGCATAACCCCGAACTCCCTAGCTATTTTTATAACCATGTGTTCCTTATACATGGTTGTTATCCTAGGGTACGTCATTACAGACTCGACCTTGGGGTGCGAGGTGATGGGGACTGCCATAGGAACGAAAGATGTACTCTCAGGATCGGGCCTACTACGATTCGAACTCCTAGAGGTCGCACTATTACTACTACCACTCAATCCATCACTACTACTACTTGACATTATAAATAAAGCACTTAAGAGCTCGAACACTTACCTGTCAAGATCGACGCTAACCAAACCCTCTATGCCCCGAACTCGACCTGTTGATTGTTGAGAGTAAAAAGGTGAAAAGTGAAAAATGAAAGGTAAAATGTGGAATATTTATAGGGGCCTGAGGAATGTAAAAAGTCTTTGAATCCTGAACGTTGGTTTCTGCAATGTGTCATCAATCTGAGTTTTTGTCCATTCACCTTCTCGAGGCCTACACGTGGCTGCCCACAAAAGGCCCACCAAGTCCAATCCAGTCCACTAACAGCTCTATGCATCCGAGCTTGCTACTCAACGGTGCTCTCTCAGCTCGGGCCTCGATGCACGGGGGCCTGTGATGACTTCATTCCCGATCTCGAGGTTGGGTTATTACATTCTTCCCAAATAGGTTATACACTAGGGTCGGGGTCTAGATCAAACCTTACCTCTGAGATAATAACCCGAACTCGACCTAAACTTTTTCATTTATGCTCCACGACAGAATGCATAAGGTCGAGATCAAGGGAGCTCCAGTCAAGTACATCGATCTCGCTGTCCCTGCCTCACGTGCCTCCCTCCAACCGCATGTGACCAAAGAATATTAGTTCAACTTAACCACTAAACCCCCAACTTACCATAAAACT